ATCTCTTCTTGTTCAAACCTTATGCAAAAAATGATCAGATGCATCATGATTTGGCTTTGATAATAGTCCCGTTGAAACCTCATAAACCGCATCTTCTTGTTCGCGGCGGCGTTTGGCAGAAGAGAAACTAATCAATCACACTGGTTTTTCAAGAAACAACAACTTTCAATTTTTCGATTTTTTTCGCTCAATACGCGTACTGAGAATTTTTAAAGTAGGATATTCGTGATCAGCGGAAAATTCTACATCGAATGATGTATGCATTCGATAGCCAAGACTTGAAGCTGTCTTTCCATAAGCAAAAACAGATTTCCGAAAAATTTTCGAAGTCAGTTTTCCAGAGGATCTTTGGAAAACCAGGTCGGTTCTCTGACATATAAACGCATGAGCTTTTTCTCATAGATATATGGCCTGAAGTGTCCTCTACAAAACTGAATCTAAGCGACGTTCTGAAAATCTATGGTTGGGGGCTGTAGACGTTTTCCCTGAAGCCTTAGCACTCCTCGGCCGTTAGGTTTGGGACTATCAAAAATGAATGAAAACATAGGTTATCGACTATGCTGAATCTCGTGGCAATGTTAGAGACCTGCGCTTTCCGCCATTCGAAAGACGAGACTTGGAGGCATGTTTTCATAATCAACATTATTTTCAGAAGAGTTTTTTGAAACAGGTTTTCTAGGAGATCTTTGGAAAACTAGGCTGCCTGTAAAGATTTTTCAATAGGATTGTATTGCTTTTTTCTCATGGGTTGATAGCTCGGGATGTCGTCTCCACAATCAAGGTGAAGTGAGACCCTGGCTTTTCCATGGTTCGGGCGTTGTATCGGATTTCCTACGAGATTTTTAGAACTTTTTGTTAGAATCTTTTCGCAATCAAAGTTGTTCAGTGACTTATGGGACACCCTGTAGATTTTCACTAAGTTGTTGCATTTTGTTCTGAAAACTAACATTGCCACGAGATTCAGCATAATCGATAACCTATGTTTTCATTCATTTTTGATAGTCCCAAATCTAACGGCAGAGGAGTGCTAAGGCTTCAGGAAAAACGTCTATAGCCCCCAACCATAGATTTCCAGAACGTCGCTTAGATTCAGTTTTGTAGAGGACACTTCGGGCCATATATCTATGAGAAAAAGTTCATGCGTTTATATGTCAGTTTTCAGAGAACAGAACTGGTTTTCCAAAGATCCTCTGGAAAACCGACGTCGAAAATTTTTCCGAAATCCGTTTTTACTTATGGAAAGATAGCTTCAAGTCTTGGCCATCGAATGGTGAAAAACGCTAGTCTTGATCTTGCGTTCCCTTCGAGTTATTCAAAAGATAATGACCGGCCTTGCTTTTTGGAACGGATAGTAGCTATGTTAAAGAAAAAGCTGAATTTTAAGAGAACAAAGAGACTGACAGTCGGGAAACGTTTTAACTCTGCTGCTAGTGACTCAGAGAGAGAGAGTCATCTTACATCGAGAGTACCCATAATTGTTATAAAAAACATGAACCTTTAATGCATTCCTCACTTATGTGCAATTTTATTTCGAGAAATTTGCACAGTAAACATCGGTTGCGAAGTAAAACACAGAAGAAGTCTTTAAACATAATAAGGTGACGGCTATTCGAACTTTCAGTAAAAGAATTTTTTTCATCTTTTTATATATGTTTCGATAGAGCGCCATGAGCTGAGTAAGAAAAAGCGTTTTTCAACTTTTGAAAAAATTCTTTATAGTCGATAAACCTGAACAGGGCCGTTTTTTTCGAAAACACGTGATTCTTGAAAATATGCGAAATTTTCTGCTTCGCTCTTTTTTTTCAGCTTATGAGAATGTTTTTTTCTGATTCAGCGTTAAAAACTGAAAAAAATGATGTTATATCGGTTCTGATTCAAAAGGTCTGTTAATGGTGGGTATCCTCATCCCTCGCTTAGCTATGAGTAAACCTATCTAGTTTCTCTGGTTAAGCGATGCCGTCAAATATTTTATCTCATGCGATTCACCATACCTCCAGTCACAAAAGTATGCATCGCTTTTCTTTTTATTTTGTTCTCTTGCGGAGAAATTGTATTTTCTCTAGTGCTATAGCCATTTTAGACGCTATTGCGCGATTTTCGAACTAAATCAGAGTTTCAACCAAAAATATAAAATCTGTATATGGTCGGAATCAGCGCAAAAAACTGAGTCAAATGCAGTGTCTTTCAACTCATCTTTTAACATTTTTTCGGGTATCATTAGACGATCGTAATTTACATATATGGGTTAAAAAACGAAAGTTGTCAAACTGTGCAATAGTAAAATAAAAAGGATTTTTCTGTCCCTATTCTCTCACTGACCATAACTGCCGAGTACTTACTGCGTAAATTAGTTATATTTTTGCTTTAATCCTGCTGTAGAAAAGTTAAAAAGCGGATATCAACTGCAAAAAGTTCGAATATAAAAGTGATCTTCATATCACTTTCAGAAATAAGTGCCTTGTGTTAACAGACACTGTCTCTTCGTCTTGTCTGACATGATAAGAAAAACCTCGATATCTTCAAGCACACACGTGTTTACCGTATAAGTCATATACAGACATAAATGTGTAGCTGTATATAATATAAATTCAGCGGATGTTCGGCGGCATTTTGTACCACCTTGGAGGTTCTATCTCTCAATGTATCACCTGAAAAATTAATTTCTACAGCAAAAAAGCTTACCACCTTACTCTTGTTTGAGGTATTGCGCCTCAAACGTCCCGCAGGATAGACGCTCCTGTATAAATTCTTCCATGTTGAAAAATGTTAGAAAAGTATATATGGGTTATATGCAAGATGTTCGTTCGTGTGAATAAATATAGAAACGAATACACATGTATCGTATAAACAAAATTCTGTGTTTGTTATTGCTGATTATTATTGCGCACGAATTTTTATTTATTTTTTACTGACCAGATAAGTGATTTTGTGACCAGATTACTTATTTTTTCTAACCAGTCACTGAATTCCTGATCAGATTTCGACAAAATTCCTGACCAGGAACTGGGCACAAAACCAGATTCTGATTTTCGATAAGTCTAGTCACCGGTTTCATGACGAGGAGCCTGATTTGCCTGACCAGGTCAAGTGATTGTTCACTAGGAATCTTCACTCAAATGTTTCTTCTACTTTGTTTTCATGATGACAATTCATTAGAAATGTTTTTTTATTTCTTGAAAACTAGTTTTAATCACATGAGAAGGTAAAAGGCTTACCCAGTGTGGAAGAGTACCTCTTTAGATTATTATAGTTATTAATACTTCTGCTGCCGTAACGTTTGAATAACGAAGTATTCTATTTGTGATTTCTTAAAATAATGTACCACTTTTCTCGAAAAAGATAATATATTAGTTATATATCTAAACTGCCTGGTTTCATGTGCATTTTGTAGTATTTTATGTTATGCAGATGTGCTTTATGCTCAATGTGAAGAAGATGTTGTCTATTAATGATTCTTTGATCCAATTGGTGATGAATTTTTAACGTAAAATGTTCGCTTTAACATACGCAAGCACAACACATGTACTCTCTTCTTTACGAGAGTGATTATACAATACACGTGAACACAATTCTATCTCTTTTTCTCTAAACTTTCATATATAAATTATTCGGGGATGGATATTTCTTTCGTATCAGTAGCAAACACTGGTCTTATTTCATTTTGCAGCTTACATGAGCGGCTTGGTCACACTTCAGTTATTTTCGTTCTCTCTATTTTGTCTTATTCATGACCTGTCGTCACTTACCAGGCATATAAGTGAACGACAATAAATTTTTTTCACATAGAATTATCTAATTGTTGTAAAAGAGGTTATAGGTACTATAACAAACACATAGGATGTCAGGTGGATTCTCCTCATCAGGTTCATTAGGAAATCAAGCTGATGTAGATGTAACTGCTGAAACTGGTAGTCGTGATAGAAGCAAGGTCTTTCTAGCTCCGGGTGGTGTTGTTGGAGATGGATTTTCATCATCTGGCTCGTCGGATAATCAAGCCCACATTAGTGTAACAACTGACAGCGATTCATCTACAAACGATAAGGGAAGCACAACGGCAGTATTACTTAGCAATGTCTTGCCTTCAGAAGAATCAATTGTTCAAGCTTCCGCCGAACTGAAACGCGATTTAACCGGATCTACCGTGCATCCATAATTCTATGTATGAATAAGAATAAACCCAAGAACTATATTCCTACAATCGTATGTACCTTACAAGGATATGTATAATTTCATTTTTCTTAATCTATTTTTAAATTGAAAGCCATATATAATACTAAGCAGGTATTTCAGTCAATGATAAAGACCAAATGAGAGTGAAAACCAATAGTTTTTATTTTTAAATGATTTTCTCACGTGTTGTTTGCTATCAGAAAGATGGATGTGATATACAATGCTAAAGGGCAAGTGGCAGAATATAAGGTTTCGTGCCTAAAAAATGACACAATGAGTCATACATATTCGGAATCAGCGTCGAATTCTGGGTAAAACTATATTATCAGATCGTTCAAATTCGCGAAAAACTTTTTTTCGAAAAAGGTTAGGACAAAGGTCCCCCTTAGAGACCTCGAAAAATACTTTTTCTCTAAACCGGCAAAATGACACTTTTTCTGACTCAGAATCGAATACTGATCACGAAAATCGCATTCACAGTACATCAAAATGCTTCTCTGTGAAACGGCGGCCGAAACAAAAAATGGGTCGAAAACCGGTTTTTTAGAGTTTTCGACTCTCAGCTGCCATGAAAAGGGCCTGTCATAGCCTGAATGGCTTTGTCTATATGTAATTCACTGTGCTTTATCCAAATATATAAGAATCAAATTGATTTGGCAACGCTTCGGCCCTGAAACCTCCAATGAGCTGAAGAATTTTCCGTCTCCGACTTGTTGACTATCACAGGTACACCCAGAAACCTTAAGGGCCCCCTTCTCTCTAAAATTTTTATTTTCCCAGAACACTCAATCTTACTGAAATTTTTATTGAAAAGTAGAAAATCTTGCACATTTCGAAAAAGATGTGTTTTTCTCAAAAAACGACAATTCTCGAGTATTTCGTATTTTTCAACCGGAAGGAAGCATTTGCTATGCCTAAAAAGTAGATTTTCATGATCAGCAGCTCACGCTCTATCAAATGGTGTAAAAAAAGGCGAAGAACAACTTTTTACTCGAATTTCGCATTGCCTGCGCCTTAACTTGAGTATGATAGTGGATATTAGTCACACACTGTATGAAAACATGTTCACTGTTGCATAGCCAAGACCTTAAGACATGTTTTTGTAAGCAGAAACTTGTTTCGGAATTTTCTGGAAGCCAAATCTGCTGGCCATTCGATTTGTCAACATCAGATTTGGCTTCCAGAAAATTCTATAAATAATTCCCAAGATTCTTGAAATTTGAGGTAGAATTTCCAGTTGATTTTCTAGACTTATGGCAAATGCTCCGCGATATTCAATCTGGAAATTCCTCGGCGATTTTATATATGAACTTATGGAAATTCGAAAAATAGAATTAATTTCCAGTTATCTAGAAAATCGCCGAGGAATTTCCAGATTATTGCTTGTATGCAATGAAACTATGCTGCAAAAGACAACGTAACATTTTAGACGTATTATAACACATTAAAATTACATCCTAAATTCTCATAACACGCTTTGGGATTAACTAACGCTTTTTAACATTATCTTCCGAGATTAAAAGCGCGTTTAGTATGGATTAAAATAACGCCGTTGAAACGCTTCGAAGGTTCAAAAAATATGTTTTTTATGCGTTAGTATTTTCTGAAACACTGTTTCTGCATCGACAAAACGTTTTACAACGCGTTCACAATTCGTCTAGAAAATTATCAAAAATTTCACAGCATTGTGATACGTGTGTGGATGCAGAAATGACGTTTAAACAAACTTTGACCCATAAAGACATATTTTTATTGACCTTGGGACGAGTTCCAGCTCTCTTTAGGAGTTACTCTTGGAGTACTTCTGAAACAAAGTTGTACGTCTCTTATATAAGTTCCTCAACGAAAGCTGTTCAGAATCAGATTCCCTGGAATATGAACGAAGCATTTTTCAAAATTGTAAGACGAAGTGTAAGAGAGAGTACTAAAACCTCATAAAGATTCAAAACGCCCGCAACTGCCAAGAATGTAATGGGCTATAAGCATCTGTGAGCTTTAAATGGATGTGTTAGATCAACAATCTTTGTTGAAAGAGCTCGTGGAGCCTTCAAACTAGCTTAATCTTTTTTTAAGTATCAGATCCCTTAGAATTTCTGCTTAATTTTATTCACACAAAAGTATTAACTTATGACTTGCACATAATATGACTGGTCCATGTATACCGCATCATCTTCGAATTTCCAACTATCTTAACTGGAAAATCGATCTCAAATTTCAAGAATCTTGAGAATAATTTATAGAAAATTGATCGATTTTCTGTAATATTAGAAAATCAAATTCAAATTTCTAGTATTTATAAACTCGATGCCGAATTTTAATATTTTGGCAAATTCTATGTCAATAAAATGAATTTCTCTGAATAAAATGAAAAGTGAATTTATAGAAAATCAAATCGATTTTCTGAAAAACAGAAAAGTGCGAATTTCTATTTTTTGTAATTTCTATATTTTGTTTTAGAATTTTCTGGAAGCCAAATCTGCTGGGCACGAAAGCTTACATTCTGCCACTTGTCATTTACAGAAAACTCGACGGTACTCCTTAGTAAAGCGTTTTACTGCATTTTTAGTGGTTTTTTTATTCATGGACGTAGCATCCGCATCCGTTTACTCATAACGTAATATATTAGATGATTACAAAACACACGCAATATTCTAATGGTGTTGAACCCACACGTGTTGGAGTACGTTTAAATTAATAACAAATCGTCAAAGAGGAATATGTCTTCTTGCATGATTTTTGATATAGCAGTGGATCCATCTATTTTTCATACAGTGTGTAACTAATATCCACTATCATACTCGAGTTACAATATCTATATTAATACCCGTTCTTAAAATTATTTTCAGTTTTTTACTTTAGTTTTCAAAGCGTCAGTGCAAGCTGTGAAGTCACTTATAAAAACAGAAAATGGAAGAGACAGAGATGAACAATTAGACTTTGTTTTAGGGGTGTTAATTTAGTTTTATTGTTCATTTATAATAATGGATAAAAGTAAATGAATCACTTACACTTAAAAGATAAAGATAAATTCGTCATTTATATTTAAAAAATAAATATAAATAAATCAAAAAAAAATTTATCTTTATTTTATAAAAGTAAATGATCCATTTATATTTATTTATTTATAAATACACAAAAGACTAGGATAATTGTAAATCTTGAAAATCCTGTTTGGTTAGTGATTTTCGAACAATTTTTGGAAAAATGCGGTTTTTTTCTCTGTATGTAACCGGCGTTAACTACGAATTTTTTTACCAGTACGATAGCTCTTATAAAAAAATCGCCGAAAGCTGCTTTGAGTCTCGAAATAACCGTCTACAACCGCGGCTGTCTCATGATAAATCGCTGTAGCCGCGGTCCGTTTTGAATACTCAGCTTTGAACAGCAATGAGCTTCTATTGGTTCACACTATTCAGTAAGAAAATCTGAGTTTCTCATTTTTCTTATTAGAGAACTAGCGAATAAGATAATATCTCTTTTTGCATATGTATATCTTTTTGTTCTCTTTCTTTTCTATCGACACTCTGAAGAGACAAATGTCGGCACATGGGATATCTTATATGAAAAGAGATATCTCCTTATTGCTAGTTCTCTATTATTCAGTGTCGTACTTATAGTTGTTGCCACTTCGGTGACTGTGTTTTTGCACAGAAAGAAACACGACCGAATCGAAAGAAAAAATCCAACCGTACATAACCGCCGTTTAGGGTGGGTAGAACCGCTGTAACGGCAGTTCAGAAAATGACAACAGCAGATAACTGTTTCGTGTTTTATATAAGTGAAAAGCCAAAATGTTCGAACCGGGAGTAACCGTGTTAGGAAAAAAAAATCAAATATCGAAAACCCACGACGAGTTGAAGAAAAATCTTTTTTTCTGACTATAATCATAACTTTATGACGAACATAAAATATGTCTACTCAGGCCCGCTCCGCTACTGAGATGTGAGATATTTTTTGTAAAAACTGACTCTTACTGATTACTCCAAAGGAAAGATTGTAACTTTATTACTTAGGCAGTTATTACTTTATACTTAAATTCTTGACAACTTTCGCACTGAGATTGCTGGCATGGATGGAGAGCGTGCGCAAATTTTGAACTTTTTCAATTCTTAACCATGTCGGACTTCGGAGTATTTCACGACTTCTACCAATGAAGACGAAGCTCGCACCAATCGTCATATAGAAAAATGTCTCTTACTACTTATGGTTATTTTACAAACAATGTTTCCTATCACAGTAACGGGCAGAGAATCTGAGCAGAGATATTTTATATTTGTCATAAAGTTATAATGATAAATAGCCGGCCATAAAAAATTTCTTGAACTTGTCTGCAAAAAAACTCCAGCTAAATCTGTTTTATCTCGATATGTTATTGTAGGCACACTCTCGATATGTTATTGACATACAGCGTTCATCGACTAGAGAAAAGATATGTCCAGTAGTGGAAACGTTAGTACTTTTAGTACACATTTTGTAAAATTAATGAAACTTACCATATCAACCATGAATAACTAGCTAAGCGTTCATGAAGGAAATAACTCCCAGATCACTATTATTTTATGCATACTATTCATTTGTTAATACTTAATATACGGAGTTTTACGTCAGTTATCTTTCGTATATTTAAGGGTACCCCGCCCCCTCTTTTTTTACCATCTTGGAAACCGGAGAAGCCGATGTCGGATCGGGTTCAAATTTATACCAAAGATAGAACATCGAAAAATAAAATCGATATATTTTTTCCCAGAATTTTCTGACGTGTTTTTCCATGGGTTTTCTGGAAAACTTCAGTTTTCATCCAGTCACATTACGACCCCCCGAAAAATGGTCCGATCGAGCTCAAAATTTAATCCACAGATACTTTAGATCCTATCTCAGGTTCATTTTTTTCATTTTTGAAAAATATGCTTTCTTTGTCGAGATATTCGGAAAATACTGAAAATCCCCATATAAAAAACTGGTTTTTCACTTTGAAAACGTTCTCACACCGAAAATTGAAATCGAAAACGCTTTAAAAAAAACGAACCTGAGATAGAGTCTGAAGTATCTGTGGTAAAATTTTGAGCTCGATCGGACCATTTTTTCGAGGGGTCGTAATGTGTGCCAATTGAAGGGACTATTAAAAAACGCATAGTGAGAAAAACACATTGTACACACGGCCCTGTTTTTCAGGGCATTTGCGGCAATGCTTATATCTCTGAGAAAACTCATCGGAAAATTCTGAAAAACATCTATTTTCGAAGAGTACACTTTCTCCTATCATGCTATATATAAGAAAAAGAAGTCCATTTTTCGAAAAAAAAGCCTCCATCAGCATCCTAGATGGTCTGTAATAGATCATTTTGTCGCTTATAGAATATTGGCTACACCCAACGAATATAAAAGTACTAGAGAGTCTTTGAATAATGACGAAAGCTGCTTAAGACATAGAATAAAGTACCGAGACTTTGAGAGGCTAAGTTCACGTTTGGATAACTGCACTAAAAACGTTCTAAAAATTTGTAAGTACTAAGGATTCCACCAGTCTTCAAAATAAGTTTCTTAGCGAATATTAATTGCAATGTTTGGCTGCTTTCTATGCAGGATCACTTAAGTTAAGAGCATACACAATTCGTTCATATTATTAAATATTGTCGAGGGTTACATTAGAAGTGATTTATAACTTGAGCCATCCATCCATATCTAGTCTAACACTACATTGATTTACTAATGTTCGTATGCATATGGTTCAGATGGTGAGGACGAAAAGAATGAGTATTTATTGAAAGATTTACACAGTTTTTATACAATAGCGTTGAATACTAGACTTCTGCTGATAAGGAAGGCAGATTGTACTTCTTTTTTAGCTCCTCCCTCATACGTTTTCGTTCATCGAGCACTCTCTGTTTTTCAGCTAATTTTTGTTCATATTCCTTTTGCCGTTGTTCATCTAATTTTCGCTGAATTTTTTCTTCTTTCTCTTTCAATTTATGCTGTTTTTTCACTTCTCTGATAGATAATGGTGGCTGCTGTTCCTGTTGAGAAGTCAACAGTGGTTGTTGTTGTTCCTGTGATTGAATAACGTTTTTATTATCTTTACCAATTCCAACCGAAAATTGTATACTCTTCTTTTTTTCTTCGGGTGGTGGAGGTACAATTGCCGTTTTCGTTTTTAGAAATGGATATCGACGACGTTTGGCCGCTTCTGATGGCTGAACCGTTATTTGAGTGTCAGGTGGTTTCGTTGTTCGTTTTTCAACCGTGAATATACAACTTTTTCCAATAAAAGAACAAATAATCAGTATTATAATGATGATTGTTAACAAAATAATTAAAATAATTAATAGGATTGTATACCATTCCATCTAAAATTCACGTTATACACGTACTGTATGATTCCAGAATTAAAGAACTCTAAGATTATAAAACTCAAGCTTTTATATAAACGGCTTTATTCTATACACTCGAAATTTACTTATTTTTAGTATAGAAGCATGCATGGTTTCAACAAATTTCATAATATCCCTCATCTCGAACAGAAGCTCATCGTCTTCTATGACGGTTTCGCACATCGCACTTTTCTCCTTAAAAATCGTCCTACACTGTAATGTCGGGAATTATTTATAGAAAATGCTCGGCCATTTTCAAAAAGTCCATATAGAAATTCCTTAGAGATTTTCTAGATTCAAGAAAATCGAATTTACAAGAAACTTGGAAATTCGATCTCGATTTTCCAGCATTCTGAAAATTCGGGGTCGAATTTCTATAAATAATTCCCAAGATTCTTGAAATTCGAGGTAGAATTTCCAGTTGATTTTCTAGAATTATGGAAAATGCTCCGCGATATTCAATCTGGAACTTCCTCGGCGATTTTCTAGATAACTGGAAATTAATTCTATTTTTCGAATTTCCATAAGTCCATATATAAAATCGTCGAGGAATTTCCAGATTATTGCTTGTATGCAATGAAACTATGCTGCAAAAGACAACGTAACATTTTAGACATATTATAATACATTAAAATTACATCCTAAATTCTCATAACACGCTTTGGGATTAACTAACGCTTTTTAACATTATCTTCCGAGATTAAAAGCGCGTTTAGTATGGATTAAAATAACGCCGTTGAAATGCTTCGAAGGTTCAAAAAATATGTTTTTTATGCGTTAGTATTTTCTGAAACACTGTTTCTGCATCGACAAAACGTTTTACAACGCGTTCACAATTCGTCTAGAAAATTATCAAAAATTTCACAGCATTGTGATACGTGTGTGGATGCAGAAATGACGTTTAAACAAACTTTGACCCATAAAGACATATTTTTATTGACCTTGGGACGAGTTCCAGCTCTCTTTAGGAGTTACTCTTGGAGTACTTCTGAAACAAAGTTGTACGTCTCTTATATAAGTTCCTCAACGAAAGCTGTTCAGAATCAGATTCCCTGGAATATGAACGAAGCATTTTTCAAAATTGTAAGACGAAGTGTAAGAGAGAGTACTAAAACCTCATAAAGATTCAAAACGCCCGCAACTGCCAAGAATGTAATGGGCTATAAGCATCTGTGAGCTTTAAATGGATGTGTTAGATCAACAATCTTTGTTGAAAGAGCTCGTGGAGCCTTCAAACTAGCTTAACCTTTTTTTAAGTATCAGATCCCTTAGAATTTCTGCTTTTTCTTTTTTCTCGTTCTAATTCTCTTTTTACATATTTTCCTTTTTCTACATTAGATGTGTCATCTTGTGTTTCTTATCAATATGTCAGGCCGAAACATTGTCAAAGGTGCACACAACTAGTTTATGAAAGAAAGTCAAGAGTACCATTAAAAGTTTCTTCTACAATAAGACCACATAACTTAAAAACAAAGCAAGATCCGAAATTTATTGTTCACAAATTATCTTTAACAAAAATTGATACTATGCAACATTGACATATTTAACAAACTATAAAACGAACGTGACGTGTAAGTACAATCGTGTAAAAAACTCTGAAGAAAAGGAATAATATATCTCATAGACGCATTAACTGAAATTTCAGAGGAAGCAGATAGAATTAAAATATTGCAAAGGCATCAGCAACGCACAACTGCATATGCATCATCTTCTCATCTAACATAGTTAGCAGCGAAAACGAATCAACAGATTGACCTTAGTGGATAATAATAAATCTTGATGAATATTGCTTAGCAACGTTGAGGAGAAAAACAAGAAGGCTCTTCCCTTTAAACTTTAAATATCGTATAGGCAATGTAGAGAACATTTTATTAAGTCATACTCTTTGAGATAAACCTCTCTTTAGTAGTAGATCACTCCTTAGAACGAAGAGCAATCTACGCTGTAATTTGGAATTAATTTCTAGTTTATAGAAAATCGATCTGGAAAACCGTGGAGCTTATATTTATAAAATGCTAGTAGATTTTCTGACTTTTTAGAAATTCGTACTTTTCTATTTTTCAGAAAATCGATTTGATTTTCTATAAATTCACTTTTCATTTTATTCAGAGAAATTCATTTTATTGACATAGAATTTGCCAAAATATTAAAATTCGGCATCCAGTTTATAAATACTGGAAATTTGAATTTGATTTTCTAATATTACAGAAAATCGATCAATTTTCTATAAATTATTCTCAAGATTCTTGAAATTTGAGATCGATTTTCCAGTTAAGAT